GGGGGGGCACTATTTTAGCTATTCATACCTCCGTTATGAAGAAAATAAATGTTCTTAGAAGTCTAAAACATATTCTTAAAAGAGAAACCTTGTTGAAAATATAGAACTCTTTTATTTTGCCAATTTTTGATTACTGTTGTGAATTATGGGACGGATGTTCAGTTAATGAAAGTGAGAGGTTAGAAAAATGTCAACCTGAAGCCGCACCTATCATTACTGGTCTTCCTTCCTATGCTAGTAATTATGCTCTCTATTTTGAATCGGGGTTAGGAAGACTCTCAGACAGGAGAAAAAGAAGGAAAATGCAGTTATTGTAGAAAATGAAAAATGGTATCACCCCTGAATTCTTAAACAAAATTCTACACAATACAGTAAGCCAAAATGTCAGATATCCTTTAAGAAACAGTAATAACTTTGTAATACCAAATTTCAGACTTTTTATTACGAATTCATCCTTCCTACCTTCTACGCTTCGCTCTTGGAACAATTTAGATACTGTTAAAAGATCATCAGTCACTTTAGGAAGATTCCAAAGAGCCATATCTCGAGAATTGGACACCAAATCGCCCAGTTATTTTGGTTATGGTGAACGAAAACTAAATATCATTCACACTAAATTAAGGAACAACAGCAGTTCCCTAAATTATGATTTATTTAGAGTCAACATCGTAGATAGTCCCGCCTGTGTCTGTGGATCTCAATGTGAAAACGCCTATCATTTCTGTTTTGAATGTCCAGTTTATACACACCAGAGGTTTGAATTGTTTCAAAATCTAAATTTTGTTAATGAAATCTCCTTAGATATAATTGTTATCTGGTATTCCGGATCTGTCTTCTCAACAAAATAATGATATTTTTCGTAACGTGCAAAAATTCATAAAGACCAGCGATACGTTTTAAAATTCGTAAGGCGTTTTATACTTCTATACTCAATTTGTGAGACTGTTCAATGTTGTTTTTTTTTCTCTTTTTGTTTCTGTTGTTGTAATGCTACTATTATACATACTATTTGATACCCAGTTGTGCCATGTTTGTAAATCTGATGTTTATATTTGAGGAAAGGGCGTAAATAATGTTGTAATAACTTGTGCCCAATCCTGTTGTCACTATTTTGGCAATAAAATATGTTTAAACAAAAAAAACCCACTACATATATGTAAACATTCTCATTTATTTCTAGCTAAAAGATCTTTAAAAAGAATCATTATCAATAAACCGTAAAGCTCTTTCTAATATCTTTTCGATTTTTCTGGTTTCTATCATTTCAAAAACACTAAGATTCAAACACATCGTTTCTACATTTCTTCCCCCCACGCTTCAACATATACATTTTTCAAAGTACATTGTATTGTAAGGGGATGAGGTCCAAACTGTTTTGGGTAGACAAGAGACGTATATATTACAGCTCTGGGTAGACTAGACTATCTACTTTTTATTTGAAAAAAAACAACTTCGCCCTGCTACGTTCGGAATTGCTTTTTTTAATTATAATGGAATTTGTTTTACATTTTCCCCAGGGAAAAAACGCAAGAAATGTTAAATCAATAATCAAATTGATTATACGACATAGATTCATGCTCTAGAACACATCAAAGCGCTTCTAATCTGCGGCAGCATACACAGGTAAGATACATATATATATTACAATATTGTAACATAATCTCTGTCCAGATATAACTGCCCAAGATTTGGCCCAAGGATTTCGGGGACAGCCTGAGTGAACAGTTTCGTAAAAATAGAAATTATCTGAAATGTGTCCTACGAATCTGAAGAGTCTAGCAAGGGATTCCATCATATTTATAACAGAGCTGGTATTTTGGTAGACCATTTTCCCGTTGCCGCCGTTTTCTTTTCTATCGTTTTTATTTCTCAATTAAAAAAAACCATGAATATAATTGTACTGTAACATGTTACATATGTAATTGTGCCCTTTATTACATTCACAATGAAGTTAAAACAGGGACAGTATATATACGTCCCTGGTTAAAAGCATCATAAATTTATAGTTTTGCCTACAGTTCGGTCCAAGTGCGTTCGTTTATCACGGAATATTTCTACGCCATCTGAAACAGGTTCAACCGAGATACGCGAATGTGACCCTAACGTTGGCAGATACCAAAAATCAACGGGAGCCAATCTTTAATGTATCTGAATAGATTATAACGACTACTAACCTGACAAGTCAATGGCTACGTGAACCATTGGCGTTCTAGCGTGATAACCTTTACCCTTTTTATATGTTATTATTTAGGATATTATTAATGAATTATTAACGAAACATCAATATATATTTATTTTAGTTTATTTCGTCTTTTAAATAGAAAAGAAAAAAAAAATCCCCAAATAATTCATAGGCTTAGCAATAATATACTAGATTATCATTCAATGTTTTGGGTGACTTTCGTAACTGAAGCATACATGTGCGTCTTGGCATAGACGTATATATAACACTGGCTTTATACGTCTCTGGTCTTGGTAAGATTATTACGTTATTGTCTTTAATGATGATTTAATGCAAATCCGAGTAGACTCTTTCGAAGGTAAATATCGAGAGAAGGACTGCCAATGGTACTCAATTTTTATCGCATGATTAAAGTGATGTAATCTCCATTTCATGTGCATACATTTACTTTATATCGTAGGTAAGTTAATTGGATTTTTAGATTACGTGCTTTTATAAAGTAGAGAATGGATTTTCTCAGTATTCTACTATTCTTTGCGGCCCTTATGTTAAAAACATGTGAAGTCTCTTCCCAACTGATCGAATAATGGATATTTTTTTTACTGTAGGTAAAAAATTATATAACATCTGTACAACTACTTCTGTAAAAATGTGCATGGATTAGGTTGCCTTACACTGTTACAAGCGTCAGCCTAGAGAAATTCCCTCTGGCTCACGGTAGAGCATCAGGCTGGAGAGCCAAGGTCGCGGGTTCGAGCCCCAGCCACGGTTCCAGTTGTTTCACCCGAAATCCTGTTCGCCCTAGGTTGTTTCGAGACAAGCTAGGTTGTTTCGCTCTTAAAGTCACAAATTGCATTTTTAAGCGAGTGTGACAAACAGCAGCTGTGGGGAAAAAAACGTCAGCTTGACTTTCATTTAGAATCTTTTGCCATGATTACTTAAATATCCAGGTGAGCGATACAGGCCATTGAGGCCTCTTTGTTTTTTCTGAAAATGATATTATTGGTACAATCAACTTCTGTCTAATTTCTTGTTATTAAAGATGATATATATCTAGATCTACATGGTATTTATGACTTATAGTATTTCTTTTGATTTCAGGTAGACTCCAAATGATCACCCTGAAGAAGTAAATATAAGCTGTTTTGTGAAGAAGTTATAATGAAAAATGTCGGTTTCTATTTCTTCCACTGTTCTGCAGAGTTCTGCTAAACAACTGATTGCACTATGCAGCAGAAGAATGATGGAGCGAAATCTAGGCAGAGTAACAGCTTCAGCAATCGGGTATCGACCATATTCTTCAAATACCTCCAACAAACAGGGAAATCGAAAGAAGCTTTACTCTCTGTCTACAGCAATAGCCCAGAGGGCTGATGGCATTGTTGATGTTCCAATTATTATGCGACATGTTGGTGACAAAATAATACAAGATGAAAACTACTACAAAGTGGTTCCAAAATTGTCAGAGGAAGAAATGACATATATGGAAAGACTTGGGGAATGCGAAACAATTGGTGAAGTCCTACAGTTGTTAGATAATCAACCAGAAACACTGACCAGCCATTTGGCAGCTCTCACCCTGATTAAATTGAAAATTCAAGACAAAAAGCGAAGAGACACACAGAAGACACCAGGAAAAGCATTTGTAAGCAAAGTGATAATGCAACAACTTTTCGGAATCGCACAAAAAAACATTGATACACTAAGTGATGAAAATTTAATTGAATTAGCGAGACAATTCATGGAGGAGAAGGAGCCTGAATCAGACATCAAAGAATTTATTCTCCATCTTATACAGAAGAAGATGGAGGATAGCACACTGGGTAAATACGCAGTGTTCAGCCTCACAGAGATATTGCAGGACAAGAAGCACTCGGACTTGCTTCAGGACCTCTGGCTTCATGTAACCAGCAGATACATGGAACTGGACATGGATGACCTATTGAAATACCTGGATCATGTGCCAGCTAACATGGCTATCACTGACGAGCTGTTGAAAATAATCGAGACTCATATGGTACAGTTTGGATGGCAGCTCGGCAGTAGAGGCATAGGCAAGATTTCGTCCAGTTTGTCGCGACTTCAGTGTAGGAATGAAACACTGGCTTCCAATATTGCCAAATGGACTCTATACCACATCCATGAAATAAAGACAGAAGACTTGTTGAGTGTTCTTGCCTATTTTCAAGAATTAGAGAAATCTAATGTTGACTTAATCCATGCCCTAGAAAAATACGTCTTTGGTAAAGGGACACAAGTGAGAAATGAAGTTTTGGGTCAAACCCTGGAGTACCTCTGCATTATTCGATACCTTAGTCCCGTCATCATGGATGCAGCCTCTGCACATTTCTTGGAATGTGGACAAAGTTATTCTGCAACTGACCTATACATGATTTTGAAACCCTACGGTTTCTTTGGATATGAGCCAAAAAATCAATTGGCATTTTTCCAGGCAGCAGATGTATATGTACCAAGGGAATATGCTAATTTTCAAGGTGCTGATATTTACAAACTGATGTGCTCATTCCTATGGTTGAACAGGAGCTCGTCTGTGTTAAGAGGTCTTGGTAGAAACAAGTGCTTGTCAATTGATCGAAATGACAAATCAAGTAAGAAAAACAATTTTGTTAATTGCAGTAGTAGATATACATAAACCTTATTTGTCCTAATTAGTGTCAACCATATTACCTGTCAACCCTTAAAGCAGATAGTGAGATTTTAGTTTTGAAAAAGCTATATTATGATTGCATCGTGGCATTGCCATCTTCTAAGTTTTAGAAACATTTTGATATTCTGAATATCCTTCACTATTTTTGCAAACTATTCCTTATAAAATTCTCTTTGAGTTTTCACTTAAAAACATTTCCTTTTAATCACTCGCATATCAATATTAAAAATATATCAATATTAAAAATATATCAATTGAAGAAAAATTATTATGATACTAGTATTTGTTTTTAGCCCCCCCTGGATTTTTTTTTTAAATCAAAATTTCAATAAATGTTATTTATGTTGCATTCAACATTTTAGATGTTTTGACTTAATTATATAATATAACTTATAAGCATCTTAAATTTATAACTCATCATATTTTGCCAGTTTTATTTTTTCTAAACAAAAATTTGCAGATTGGGTACGTAAATTTGGATTTTTTTTACCAGCATCTGGTTTATGTCCAGCTCTGATTGACAATCTCACTTTCTACTGCTGTTTATTACTGGAAAGCTAATTAAGCAAGCCACTGCAGTATGGCTTTCTTGCAACAAAAGAGTCTCAAGTGTCTCTTTATATCTTGCTGGATTCATTTATTCATTCATCAATATTTTCAGAAGTAGAAAGGATTTATGCTGGGGAGCTAAAATGAAAAGTTCACAAGTTTCATAAATTTCATATAAAATGAAAACGAGTGTAAGATCCTTTTTATCACTTATAATCATGATCTGTGGCATTTATTCGTGTAAAACGACAATTTTCATGCCACCTTGAAATGTAAAAAGGCACCATTTTGACTCAAGTGCATTTAAGTCTGTGACATCATTTGCATGTACTTGTCCCAGGCGTGTCTTCACAATCGAAACAATTGAAACTTACAACCATTGCAATCACAGGGCTGATAGGTCATATTACATGGGTAATACTTTCAAAAATATGACATGGGTTTATTCACTGGAAAACTCTGTACATTATATATGATTAAAATAAATGTTATATAGTTTATGATGGATATGTATATATTTTGTGACAGGTCGTTTTTGGTATCGTCGAGCGATGGCCCAGCCTCATCCTATCACAATCGAATCACTATCACAATTTGCAAGTGTCATTACAACCTCAGATAGAGACGACAACCAGCGCAGTGGTAAGTGTTGCATGTTTAAATTTGTTTCCTGGTCAATATTGATCAAGAAATCTTTGGATTCTCCCATCGAGATATGTACCGTGATAACTGCTACGATAAAGGAAGTCCTGATATTAATAATTGGCAGAGACTATTTACATTAACATATCATTTTACATGCCAGTTACAAATATAAAGCAAAAGTAAGATTGTTTGGATTATCAAAATCAAGCTCTTTTGATTGTTTTGACCAATAAAAATAATAACAAAAAGGACAACAAATAATGTTTTTAGGTCACCTGAGACAAAGTCTCAAGTGACCTATTGCAATCTCCTTTTGACGATTGTCGTGCGTCGTCCGTCCATAAACAATTTACATTCTTGACTTCTTCTAAATTACCACCACACAGATTTTGACCAAATTTGGTCTGAAGTATCTTTGTGGGATATGAGGGTTCAAGATTATTCAAGAGAAGTTGCTGGACCCCCTGGGGGCTGAAGGGTGGGGCCCAAAATGTGAAATTTGACTATTTTAGATCTTCAAAAATCTTCTTCTTAAGACTGAGAATGGCTGCAGGATTTATGTTTCACTTTTAAGCAAGCCCTCGGGTTGAAGATTCAAGTTTGTAGAAATGGAGCCTCTGCATGGGGTCAAAATTGGGGCCACACCCAAGGGCCAAAGTTTAACATAGGTTGTAATGGAATATTTAGCTACAAAAATCTTCTTCTGCCAGAAGGAAATAGCAAAAGCTTTGATAATTTACTTTGAGCATACCATACCCTAAGGGTGAGGATTCAAGTTTGTACAAATCAGACCCCTGGGGTAAGAATTGGGGCCACGCCAAAAGGTCAATGTTTAACATTGGCTGTAATGGGTATTGAGCTGCAAAAATCTTTTTCTGCCAAAAGGAAATAGCCACAGCTTTGATATTTTTATTCAATTTTATTACCCCCGGGCCATCCATTCTCCTATGGTTGACTTAAGTTTATATTTTGTCCATTTTCAGCAAGGAATTATTCAAACTTGTTTGGAATGATTATGATACCAGATGGCAGTTACAAATGTATATGGTATGAGAAAATAAGATCCTGCCCCATCCCCAGGGGCTGGAGGGGTGGTGCCCAAATGGTGATGCAAATCTTATTTTAATGCAAGATAGTATATAACACTATATGGCATTCAACAGGCGTATATTGTTCCGCCCTGCGGTATTCTTGTTAAAGTTCTTATCCTTTGGTGACATGACAAGTATTGTATTTCTCTTTGTTTACATGTTGTTTTCCACATTTTGTACATCTCGACAATGAAATTGAGCTACTGGGCCCACTTGTATAAAACATCTCAACTCTTGAGATTTCCTCAAGTCTAAGATTTCCCATAGACAATACATTGATTGAGATTTTCCTTAACTTTGAGTTGCTTTATACAAGTGGGCCCTGAAGCTTGGTTTGTTTTGTTTTTAAGCAATTACATTCCTAATGGCACGGGCAGCATTGAAAAATCTCTTACATGGCCCTGTCATCTATAACATAAAGGTGAAGGCATATTTGATAGGTAAGTAAACATTGTATAATTGATGTTGTAGAAAAGGCTAATCATATATATATATATATATATTGGTCAGATGAGCCTTGAACTTTACCGTAAACACTTAAAACTCACCTGGCTTCTGACGGCTGATCAGGAGCAATATCTGATTGGGGGATATTTCATATGAAGTCTTTAACTTCAAACACATCTGGACCATTTGATTGTAATTCAGGCTGCTATGAAGATTACTTGGAAGCAGGATATCAAATGTTATATCTAAAGGAAGGGTGTTTTCTCCACTCCAATTGAGAGGAAGAGGCCGTTATCAGGATTTTTTTGTGATATTACTGTTAATGAAAATAGATTGACATGATATGTTAATTATTCAGGAGTGATACAGGCCCAAAAGGCCTCTTGGTATAAGTTTTGAAAAAAAAAGAAATGGAAAAAGTTAGAAAGGTTTTGAGACAACCAAATGAATAAACTAGGCCCATACATTGAGTTCTCATGTTGGTTTGATCTGTTCCTTTATTTTCAGATTTCATGCTGATCGTGGACGAGAACAAAGAGGATGTCTCTCCAGAGTTACGCTACAACATGCACCAGATACCTGAAACTCATAAAGTGTAAGAAATTTGTTCCCTTTGTTAACTTACATACATGCAACAATGACTTTATTTACTCAACCTAACGGTAAGATTTTACTTCTAAAATGGGCGCTGTACCAGGATTTAGATTGTTGACATAGAGGTTCCCTAACGAGTGATGGTTGGTTATCAATTTTAGCTCACCTGGCCCGAAGGGCAAGTAAGCTTATGCCGTGGTTCGGCATCTGGCATATGTCTGTCTTTTACTGAAAAGCCTATTATTCCAGAATGACTGTATTGATTTTAACTCTATGTTGTGTGGAGTGTTGCTAGGCTGAGGGGAATCAATTTTGTATAGAAGAGGGGCAGGGCCCAATGGGGGAAATTCAGGTTAATTTTTAAAATACTACACCTTGAGTATCGATAGTTATCCTTATGGTCGAAGTAATTTATTCATGCTAACAAATTTACATTAGGAAAAATTGACGATGTTTCAGGATACTCATCAAGATGCTTTTCCCAGAGCATTTCTGTGTCAACACCGGGGAGCTTCTTGGAGAGTACTCTGCTGCCAAGAAATTCTTTGAAAACAGCAATATCCATTACATCACGGTAAATATGTTGAAAGTAAATTTTCAACTTGTTGACTATTATTGAATAATATCTTACTAGTTGCATATTTTCCCTTTTCAACATCTAGGCATTGGATAAGTTGAATGGCTGTTGGAAAACTGGTGGTCTGTTAATACGGATAAGTTGAACGGCTGTTGGAAAACTGGTGGTCTGTTAATACGGATAAGTTGAATGGCTGTTGGAAAACTGGTGGTCTGTTAATACATCCAACGATTACTAGCTGGATATATGAATAGGCTACTGCGTATCACACAGTTGGATACTTGAACAATGCCAACAGTTGAACAGGGCTAACACTCCAAAACATAAACATGGATTACATGCAGCAGTTAAAAATGAATAGAAAAGGAAGCATTGCATGAAATGCTTAATGAAATCATTTGTTCAACTGCAATGTTAACGGATGGGGGGGGGATGTCGTTTAGTAATTCTTCCAATATTAGCATTGATTAATTAGATTTGGATGCATTTGGATCGCTAAATATTTAAAAACAAAACGTCCTTGAACATGTGAAATTATTTGTAATCAAACAGGGATGTCAATAAAAAATGTACCTTTAAACCACTGGAATATAAACTCTATGTTTGAGATGGAAACAAATTCGGGAAATAATTTCTTACACAGATGTTCTTTACACAGACCATTATAACAAGGTGTTCTTTCTAAACATGTGTCTGTCTAGACAGGTTCCTTAAGAAGAGGTCATGGACATTGTAACGTAGCATCTGATACTTTACATGTATCCTTGATATACAATTGGATAATATGATACAAATATGTTGATACAAGCCAAAAGTATGTATATTTCCTGTCCTTTATGAATTTATTATTCGCCATGCAGGATTATTTTATTCAATTCACTTCTTTTTCATCCAGCTGTCTCCGTTGAAGAGTGGCGTACAAAGGACAACAGTTGACATACTCCAAATGCACTTTCACTACAAGCTTCATCAACTAGTCAACTTCAAGTTCAATCCATTTAAGGGGGTGGGCAAGCAGAAACTTCTTCAGCTTTGGCAAAACTCTACCAAACAGAACAGGACACCAGTGCAACCTTGCCAGGACTAGAATGATCTCTATCAATCAAAGGACTCCATTGTCCAAAATATCCCCGCCTGTCACGCGGGAGACCAGAGTTCAATTTCCTGTCGGGAGACACATTTGAAGGTTACACAAGGAGGCGTACATCCCCTGCATCAACCCTCACCCTCAACCATACAAATGTTTTATGTCTCGGACGTTAATCTGTTTAATTTTTCAAGCTTTTGCTCAGTCAAACTACTTCACGTACCAGGGTCGACCTTGTCGGGCAAGGAATGAAATTCGTTGGATGTCACAAGTGCAACCTTGTCAGGCCAGGAATGAGGTCAAAGAGTGTGAAGTCATCATTGTCACCTGCCATAACAGGAATGACATCTGCGTATTAATTGGCACCAGTGTGACTTTGTTAGACAAGGATTCACCTCAGTCTGTATCATCAGTATGAACATGTCAAATAGACCTATAGACCTATAGACATAACATGTATACAACTGATTCAGGTGTATTTTCTTAATGTCTTATATAATGAAATTAATATCGTGTTTCCACATTTGCATAATAGCTACATATATTTCTTGCATAAAAGTTGCATGAAATGACGCATTATAGGATATTCAGATATGGTAAAGGCATTAAATGAGTACTATTAATACATAGTAAAGTGTTCTGTGCTAAGTGAGAGTTCTTGGATAGATAGTGCAAGCAGAGACATTTGAACTGTTTCAGTTGATTTTTGTAGATTCAAAACTTCTTGAAATAGAATTAAAGATAAGGCCCTCTGCATATATACTAAATGCTTTGTTTTGTGTCTGGTTTGGCCTTGGTATAAACTTTTAAGATTTTAATTATTGGTAGATTGACTTTGCATGATTTTATGTTGATGAATAGTGAAGTGGAGCATGATTCCAATATGAGATAGTGCTACTACAGTCAGGAGTAAAATAATTCAGTGTACGACTTGTGCCATAATAAAGATATAAATGTAAATTGATATTGCTTAACTTTCAAATTATTATTTTAAGATCTACCTAGTCAACTACTTCACTAAACTCAACAAAAGGAGTCCCAGTTAAGTAGATACATGTATGTTCAACCATTAGTCTATAAGTAGATACATGTATGTTCAACCTTTAGTCCATAAGTAGATACATGTATGTTCAACCATTAGTCTATAAGCACTGTAAGTGTAATTTGACACACATGATTTTGCCTACAACCAGATTAAAGTTCAAATAGCAATTTAAGTAACAACAAAAAGTTGTGTAAATGATCTGATATATTTTGAATACAACGAGTTGATATATATAGGATCTTAAATGAGTTTTCATTTCATATGAGATTCTATGAAACAAGTCTTAGGAGTTTTTATTTTTGCGAGCCTTGGCCTTGGTCATAAAAGCTCATATGAAATGAAAACAAATTCAAGATACTTTTTATCACATAACTCAGAAAACTTACATTTTGACGGGTTTTAAAGCCAAAATCTAGAGGGCTTAATCAAACGGAGACAGCCATTTTGTTGCACCATTCACGCCATATTATGACGTCACAATCGATTTCTGACTGGCATCGCCAGTAAAAAAACGCTCCAGGGTATATTACACTAGTGACATATGTAAAAATATTACACGGATAACAGGCCGATTATGTGATAAGTTGTGAATTTCAATGCTTGAACTTATTTTGCTATTAAGAATAGCATGTCCATTAGACAAGAAATTTGTAATCTTTGTAAATATTTACACTCAGTTTCTCGGCTCGATCAAAATCGCTAATTATCAGGATGTTAAGTTTGATGCACTAAGTTGTCCCACTTTTAAATTTGTTTTGTCCTCCTATGTACATGTTTCCCTGAAAACTGCTCATGTGCTGTATTGAGGCTTAATGCTAACATCAAACCATTCAATAAAATCTCAATTATCTGGGAACATTGGTGATAAAGCGCTTTAGAGTGGTTTATGTTAGCTAAATAGGGCGCTATATCAAATGTTGTATATTTATTATTTATTTTTATATAGAGATGGGTCTTTGATGGCTGAAGTTTGATTTAAAACATTTCCTGCGAATAAAGCGAACCTGGAAATTTTCAAAAGAGTGAAAGAAAAAGATCCCTTTTTAAATTTAAGATAGTGTGAGGATTGAGAAACTGTTTTGTTTGAGAGCTTAAATATTTGTTTATGTTTTCTACTATCAGACAGTGATTTAATGCGATAAGAAACAATCCTCGGATCAATTTGATGGATCACGAAGGTCACATTTTCGGGTATCTTTGAAATTTGAATTGTATTCATACATCTTATGTTGGGAGTTTATTGACTTCAGGTTGAATTGTCACATTTGTTATGTTCAGTGAGTGCTTTAATTTTGTAGGTCAAATGACTGGGAAAATAGGTTAAAGGAATCATGAGCATGGCTTACCCATTTCAATTTTAAATCGGGTCATTAATAATTTTAATAGTTTTACATAATGGAATTTTATTTAGTAAATAATTCCTCAATTGTATTTCCTGATTTTCACATGACAGTTAAGACATATGTATTTTGTTGTTTTTACCAGATAATTGTGTTCTCAATATTATATGTGAATAACAGTATGTTTCATTGCATGTCAATAGTTTTAATGGCATATTGGTTGTGGAACAACACTATTAAACCATGGAATGAGTGATAGATTCACTCTTTTTATGCATATTGGTAGATGTATCGTCATATTAACTTGATTTCATTGCAGAAAGTGTATGACAAATAATTAAGAAATGGCTCATTTTAAAAGATGCTATCTGATCAAGGCTTGTTTGTATAATTGTGTTTGTATTTTTCAAATCAGACATATTCATGAACATTGGGGATTGTGAACGTTGGAACATGTTGATTGGGAATTGTGTTAAAATTGCTGTAAATGTATATGATAAATTAAAGTTAATGTTTTATCTGTAACAAATGTTGTTTGTAAAATATCATTCTATTATTAGCTCACCTGGTCCGAAGAGCCATGTGAGCTTATGCCGTACTGCGGTGTCTGCGTCCGTCCGTCAACCTTTTCTTTTGAACAACTTCTGAAGAACTGGAGGACCTAGGGTCATATGATATTTGGCCAGTAGATACTTGGGATGAAGTGCTATAAAAAAATCCTCATTAAAATGACCTTGACCTACTTTAAAGGTCACTGGGGTCAAATATGTTAAACATTTGGACTAGAGTCATGATACTTGGGTATGTTATGTAGACCAGCAGTGTGAATAATTTTCTCAATTAGAGTAATGAGGTCAAAAGTCAACTTTAAGTGCTAGTCAGGGGTCAAATGTCTACATGGGTTAAAAGCTTTAACAACCTTCTTCTCAAGTTCCATAAGGCCTAGGGTCATGATATTTGGCCAGTAGGTACCTGGGATGGAGTGCTATAAAGTTTACTCGTAAAAAATGATTTTTACCTACTTTTAAGGTCACAGGGGTCAAATATGGTAAACACTTCAAACAACAATATCCTAAGAACCATTTGGACTAGAGTCATGATACTTGGGTATGTTATGTAGACCAGCAGTGCGAATCTTTTTCTTTATTACAGTAATGAGGTGAAAGGTCAACTTTAAGTGCTAGTCAGGGTCAAAGGTCAATGTGGGTTAAGGTCAAATGAATGTATTGATAAACGGAAATAGGAAGTACATCCCTAGTTGAAAGTCCAATGTAGGGAGACAGTATCACAATTTCCGGAAATTCTAATGAGTCTAGAGTTGTGATGAATATTGTATGTTTATTATTGACAGAACAATGTGTTCTCTCAATATTAAAGTATTTCAAAGCAATCCAGGCATTAATTCAGTTGTTTTTAGCTCACCTGCCCGAAGGGCTAGTGAGCTTATGCCATGGCGCGGCGTCCGTCGTCCGTCCGTCGTCGTATGTCAACTTTTCCTTTTAATGACTTCTTCTGAAGAATGGACAGGCCTAGCCTAGAGTCATGATATTCGGATGATAGCTTCGTTGGTAAGAGCCCAACAAAGTTTAAAAACGAATATGACCTTGACCTGCTTTCAAGGTAACAGGGGTCAAAAGTATCAAATACTTAAAACGACTTCTGAAGAATTGACAGGCCTACAGTAATGGTATTTGGGTGATAGCTTCGTTGGTAAGAGCCCAACAAAGTTTGAGAACGAAAAGGACCTTGACCTTCTTTTAAGGTCACAGGGATCGTAAGTATCAAATAATTAAACGACTTCTTCTGAAGAACTGAAAGGTATAGAATCTTCAAATTTGGCTGGTAGCTTCCTGGGAAAGAGCCCAACTTTTATACTCTGAGTTTAATTTACTGTGAAAGATGTCCATATACTGAAATAATGGAAATTATTATGTACAAACGAAACCAATCAACATTTGACGTTACATACCCTTCTCGTACCTTTCAGAAGCATTATTTTACTGAATAACGAATTAAAGAAAGTCTAATGGGTTTTTTGCCGAAATTCCGTTCCTTTCGGTTGACTCCAAAGTATATTGTGCCATTTCGAGTTCAAACTCTATGGAAGGGGTGAATAAGGGGTTTTGCCTTTCACAATTTTGGGATAATGAAGAAAGGGTCGTGGATTGGCTTTTGGAAACCTTTAACTCCATGGCGTGACTTTGCTTTGACCTTTCCGTTAATCTTTTATCCTGAACGTGACACGGGACCAGAATACAAAAGAAAACGTGCTTGTCAATAAATACAATAAAACTCGCAACACGGTGACACACGCCAACTACAAACTTCCATGTTCTATTTCTTTCCTCTAATAACTCGGTTGTCACAATCTTTTTATCTATTTCTTTGATATCACGCCTGTTTATCTCAATAAGTCTAAACATTAAAGTACGAAGTTAAACGTCGCTGGCGTCTTTTCTTCTATATTTCATGTATCTCTTTCATTTTCACATTTTCATTTGTTTATTAATTCAATTGCAACACTAATAAATTAAAAAAAAACAATTCTGTCTCATAAATCTTAAATCTTACGTCTCCAGCACACACGCAGGCATACACACATAGGGAGATATTAGCCTGGTGGCATAGGATTAGTAGTTAGCGCCTGATAAGGCAGCTCCTGCGAATTCCTCAATATTGTATTGATTAATATATATATGCTAATTGTATTGATTGTATAAAATTGTATATCTATGTACTGTAACGCACTTTAGAGTGGCTTACGTTAGCTAGATAGGGCGCTATATCAAATGTTGTTTATTTATTTATTTTATTTATTTATAAATGAGACATATATTCTGCCAAAACATTTGCATTATTTTCCATTTGCGGTTTTCGAGATATGAAAACGAAATGCATTTCAATCTTTAAACTGTTGGTTAGATAAAGAACTAAATGGGGCTACAAAAATAATTTCTTTTAATTTGTCTCATCATGAAAACCGCTAAACGGAAAGAACGAGAATATGTGCGAGAATATGTGCTTCAAAGGTAGTGTGTGTATTTATTGCAGTTGCCTTCAGGAATATGCACCAAAACACTTTTGGAAAAGCGTGAAATGGGGAACCTGATAAAGGTTTGTCAGTACAGGATTTCTAATATGTAAAAGATGTGCATTGATTAGGTTGCCTTACAAGCGGTAGCTGTAGGGTGAATTTCCCTTTAGCTCAGCGGTAGAGCATCTGACTGGAGAGCCAAAGGTCGTGGGTTCGAGTCCCAGCGACAGCACTATCTTTATCACTATTCCTCGTCCTTCTACAAATATAATACCACTACAATAGCTGCGCTCACACAGGAGGTGCTAAAGCTTATCCAATCTCATTTATTCTACTCCAAAATCTGTGATATAAAATCTAAATTTAATTTACGGAAGGCTCTAGGACACGTAATAGTGCAACAAAATCATAGTCCCGATTCCAGGCACATGTGATATGGAAATAGAAGACAAATTCGTTCGAAAACATATGATGCCACTACCCTGACGTCTTTCACATATTGAGCGTGAATTAATCGCCGACTTGGAGCTTTGAATCTTTGGAATCTGGATAAAGATAAGTCAAGCACGTTGTAATGCTTAATACACTATCTGTACTCAAGAAAGTGGTATGGTTATCAAAATGTATGGGTCTCGTAGAAATACTTTATGTAAAGGACGTTTACTTCAAAACTTAAGGACATGTTCCACCAAATTTCTTTGGTAGCATATTCAATTACCCTTTGGCGGTGAGTGGTGTGAATGAAGATAACATAAGTAAAAACAAAAAGTTGCGCCGCCCGGGAATCGAACCCGGGTCGCAAGAATGGGAATCTTGCATGATACCACTACACTAGCGGCGCTCATACTAGCGACGGAAATATAGACCACCGGAAAGTTAGTCACGATAAGATAACAGTCAC